ATTGCTAGTTCCATTCCAGCTTCTCAAGAATCTGTGACAGGAATTGCTAGTTCTGGTCCAGCTTCTCAAGAATCTGTTACAGGAATTGCTAGTTCCATTTCAGCTTCTCAAGAATCTGTGACAGGAATTGCTAGTTCCATTCCAGCTTCTCAAGAATCTGTGACAGGAATTGCTAGTTCCATTCCAGCTTCTCAAGAATCTGTGACAGGAAGTCAAAGTGAAATGGAATGCAACTGCCCAGAATCTCAATTTGTTACAGACTGGACATCATCAGCAAACGGTTCAGTAGAACGTAAATCTGAAAGTAAATCAGAAACTGAGTGGTCACCATCTGGGACAGAAATGAGAGTCACATGCATGTTAGGATCGACAGGTCTTGCCCTGTTGGGACAGTACAGTGATGACAGTGATAGTGAAGAGAGTTTTGCTGCTCAAATATCTAATGACAGATCAGAATCAGACAATTCTAAAATTGTTACCCAGATGGAAACCATGGCAATAGAATCCAGTACATTACCTGAGGATTCTCTACATATCTGTAGACATCAAACAAGTGAAAGGACGGGACAAACCGAGTCCGGTGAAGCTGTAGAAATCTGTGATAGTAAACTGACCATCAATCAGTGCCTTGATGAAACCATGGCAACACTCATACGACTGAGACTGAAGATGGAGAGTTTGTGTGAGAGTGGCCTGCTGGTGTATAACCCGGGCCCTTTTATCCGACTCATCACACAGTGTGAGGCACTCTACGAACAATAACCAAATATAACATAGAAATCAGCACAATAACGAACACACTCGAGGGACGTTGAAACCATCTGAAGTACAAATTCCTTTGTTGGCAAATTTTTCAATTCTATATAAAAAAGTTAGTTTACCTATACATGTAGAGTCTATTTACATACAGATATTGTTAACTATTATTTCACAAAATTTGAAATTGCTAATATATCCACATCAAACAACATCAAAAGAATATATTTAATACTTCAGTTTTAAACCACATTCAAAGGAAAAATCGAAATTTTGAACATCACAGGGAAATAACTATAGAATGTGAATGGTTGCCGTCGACTATAATTACACAAATACTATGGCGATACACAAGGTGTATGTTAGGTAGTACCAGTAAATATTATAGTAAATTCTATACTGTGTGGAATGGTGTAAAAGGTTATAGAACTCTAATCCTGTGGTTTACGGTATCATGAAGCTATCTGTCATGATTAATTTGGGCCCAGTTATTGGGATCAAATTGTGAAATATGTGAAAACAGTACCAGTGTCGTAAGGAAATACTGGACAAACAATACAAACTTAATGGAGCTGTTTTCATGAATTTGTTTTTTATTTTATCTTGTATTTCATATATTTACATCGCAGCCTTATTGTCCAAAAATTAAACCTATCAACTACATTTAATTAATCCAACCATACTTGTCATTAGTTTTTCACATTAATCCACAGTCATACAGCCTGTATCTCACCAGTAATATTGAAGCCAGTATTGTAACAGCTTCTCCACTCCTCATGTTACTGGCTACTTATACACATCCTAATAACTCTGTCTACACACATGATACCAGCTTCCCCTACATACACTTCAACTTGTACACACATTTTACTGGCTACTTATACACATTGTGACAATTGTGTCTACACGCACGATACCAGCTTCCCCTACATACACTGCAACTTGTACACACATTTTACTTGCTTCTCCTAAACACACTCTGTTACCTCTGTACACTGTAACCTCAACAAATATTGTTACATTTTCATCTCCTTACATAAATTAACCCTTTCATCCCTATGTAACTTTAATAGACTCTACCATACATTGGTATGGATGAGTCCATTATGATCTACAGTGGTGAAAGGGTTAACCCTAAATTCACTCAAGAATAAATCACAGAGTATATATTCATATAAAACCAATGACTCAATTGTGCAGAATGACTTACTTTCCTGTACTTGAAGCCCATCATTGTAGTCCCTACACTTACATCATTTTCTGTCACTGCTCATCCAAGAATATTTTACAGTTTGTCCATGAACTGATGGAGATGATGGCTTTGTGTTCATGTTCTACATCAGTAACATCTCACTTAGTGTTAAGATTGAATTCTTGCTTAGAAGTGTAGAACAGCAGTTTATTCTGTATAAAATTACGATCAGCTGAGAATTGCGGTATACTCGTATGTAAAATTACATTTCTGCTGGGAATTGCGGTACACTCGTATGTAAAATTACATTTCTGCTCAGAATTGTGGTATACTCGTATGTAAAATTACATTTCTGCTGAGAATTGCGGTATACTCGTATGTAAAATTACATTTCTGCTGAGAATTGCGGTATACTCATATGTAAAATTACATTTCTGCTGAGAATTGCGGTATACTCGTATGTAAAATTACATTTCTGCTGAGAATTGCGGTATACTCGTATGTAAAATTACATTTCTGCTGAGAATTGCGGTATACTTGTCTGTAAAATAACATTTCTGCTGAGAAGTGTACACCTAAAATATTTTTTCTGTGCAATTCCTCCACACTCATATATTTCAAATCAACCTCCTTGATCTGCAGCATCCCTCATCTCCTGTATCTGTAGCGTTTGAAATGGAACCACAGTTGGAAGATGTTATTTTGGAACTGACAGCGAAACCCATGTTTGTAGGAGTATTCCCATTCTCTGTTCACAATCTTAAAGGCAATATCCTGAAAGATATACATGTCAATGTTAGCACACCATCAATACATGTCAATGTTAGTACACCATCAATACATGTCAATGTTAGCACACCATCAATACATGTCAATGTTAGTACACCATCAATACATGTCAATGTTAGCACACCATCAATACATGTCAATGTTAGCACACCATCAATACATGTCAATGTTAGCACACCATCAATACATGTCAATGTTAGCACACCATCAATACATGTCAATGTTAGCACACCATCAATACATGTCAATGTTAGCACACCATCAATACATGTCAATGTTAGCACACCATCAATACATGTCAATGTTAGCACACCATCAATACATGTCAATGTTAGCACACCATCAATACATGTCAATGTTAGCACACCATCAATACATGTCAATGTTAGCACACCATCAATACATGTCAATGTTAGCACACCATCAATACATGTCAATGTTAGCACACCATCAATACATGTCAATGTTAGCACACCATCAATACATGTCAATGTTAGCACACCATCAATACATGTCAATGTTAGCACACCATCAATACATGTCAATGTTAGCACACCATCAATACATGTCAATGTTAGCACACCATCAATACATGTCAATGTTAGCACACCATCAATACATGTCAATGTTAGCACACCATCAATACATGTCAATGTTAGCACACCATCAATACATGTCAATGTTAGCACACCATCAATACATGTCAATGTTAGCACACCATCAATACATGTCAATGTTAGCACACCATCAATACATGTCAATGTTAGCACACCATCAATACATGTCAATGTTAGCACACCATCAATACATGTCAATGTTAGCACACCATCAATACATGTCAATGTTAGCACACCATCAATACATGTCAATGTTAGCACACCATCAATACATGTCAATGTTAGCACACCATCAATACATGTCAATGTTAGCACACCATCAATACATGTCAATGTTAGCACACCATCAATACATGTCAATGTTAGCACACCATCAATACATGTCAATGTTAGCACACCATCAATACATGTCAATGTTAGCACACCATCAATACATGTCAATGTTAGCACACCATCAATACATGTCAATGTTAGCACACCATCAATACATGTCAATGTTAGCACACCATCAATACATGTCAATGTTAGCACACCATCAATACATGTCAATGTTAGCACACCATCAATACATGTCAATGTTAGCACACCATCAATACATGTCAATGTTAGCACACCATCAATACATGTCAATGTTAGCACACCATCAATACATGTCAATGTTAGCACACCATCAATACATGTCAATGTTAGCACACCATCAATACATGTCAATGTTAGCACACCATCAATACATGTCAATGTTAGCACACCATCAATACATGTCAATGTTAGCACACCATCAATACATGTCAATGTTAGCACACCATCAATTTATGTCAATGTTAGCACACCATCAATACATGTCAATGTTAGTACACCATCAAACATATTTTTACAACAATAATTTTTTTAAATGTCATTCCATAATATTAATAACATTTTCATAATTTCAAAATATCACTGACAAAAAATAACATTCATATTTATATGTTGAAATATTTTGATAAAATATGAAGTCATATATCTTCATTTTTTTCAAAGAGAGATGATGATGATAAAATAAATCTGTCGTAACTTATATGAGAATTATCAGTCTATTTCAGACTTCAAAAATATCATGGTTAATAAGGACAGAAAACAAAAATACCTCATATGGAGGACCAGCATGGAACTTGAGTGTAGCAAAGTCCTTATCTCCATCAATAGGTGTCTGTAACAAGTGACCAAAGCCAACATGACATCATGAATCATACAATCCGCCATGAGAAAGGCAATCAGTAACAAAATCAACACAATAGCCACCAAGGGCAGCACATCCTCTGAATCAGATTCCTGCATTTTTCATTTTCACATTTTTCTCTATGCTAATGCTATCATATAAGTGTGTGGTATTTTTTTAGTATGTGGTTAAAAAGTTTGTGTTCGTTTTTTGAGATTTCGCAAAATAAAAGCAAAAATTAGACACTCATGAAAAATAATTTATACTATCAATCATCAGCAGCATATCCTCTATATCCAAATTATTGTGTAAATGGAAATAGTGTCATACATGTACAAGTACTCTTGGTACACATCAAAAGTGAACTTAGTTAACACGTGTATTTCCAAGAGTGTAATGGGAATTCTCGGTGCACATGTACTTACTATAGTGTACTGTGGCTCTTGGTACACATGCACTTACTATAGTGTACTGTGGCTCTTGGTACACATGCACTTACTATAGTGTACTGTGGCTCTTGGTACACATGCACTTACTATAGTGTACTGTGGCTCTTGGTACAAGTGTACTTGCCAGTGTGTACTGTGGCTCTTGGTACAAGTGTACTTGCCAGTGTGTACTGGGCAGTGTTGGTACATGTGTACTTACCAGTGTGTATTGGGCAGTGTTGGTACATGTGTATTTACCAGTGTGTACTGGACAGTGTTTGTACATGTGTACTTACCAGTGTGTACTGGGCAGTGTTGGTACATGTGTATTTACCAGTGTGTACTGGGCAGTGTTTGTACATGTGTACTTACCAGTGTGTACTAGGCAGTTTTGGTACATGTGTACTTACCAGTGTGTACTTGGCAGTGTTAGTACATGTGTACTTACCAGGTTGTACTGGGCAGTGTTGGTACATGTGTACTTACCAGTGTGTACTGGGCAGTGTTTGTCAATGTGTACTTACCAGTGTGTACTTACCAGTGTGTACTGGGCAGTGTTGGTACATGTGTACTTACCAATGTGTACTTGGCAGTGTTGGTACATGTGTACTTGGCAGTGTTGGTACACGTGTACTTACCAGTGTGTACTGGACAGTGTTTGTTCATGTGTACTTACCAGTGTGTACTGGGCAGTGTTGGTACATGTGTACTTACCAGGGTGTACTGGGCAGTGTTTGTCAATGTGTACTTACCAGTGAGTACTTACCAGTGTGTACTGGGCAGTGTTGGTATATGTGTACTTACCCGTGTGTACTTGGCAGTGTTGGTACATGTGTACTTACCAGTGTGTACTGAGGAGTCTCTGTCTTGTCTATTAGGTCAGGGTAGAATATCTACAGAAGAAAACAATAGTGGTCATTACAATAGTGGTCATTACAATAGAGGTCAGTACAATATAGGTCATTACAATAGTGGTCATTACAGAAACCTAATTATGCCTGATAATTTTTCCTTTAGAAATGTGTTTAGTTACAAAAAGAAAAGGATCATGCCAAATTTCTATCTTGTTATTGAAGTAGGTACTGAAACTCATTTCCTGATGGATTTATATTTGAAGTATATTTATGTAAAATTGTTATAATTTATTGGATCCAGCCAATTAAAAACAGTGATTCAGCGACCTGGAATAAAGTTGTTGTTGAACAAACCTAACTTTTCAACTACACACATGGACAGATCAACGTATTTCATTTGTTTGCACATTAACCTTGGTGCATTCCTTCAAAAACTTGAGTAAAACAGAAATATGTACATTTGTGTATTTTACAAAAATTATGTTGGCTTGGATGGAAGTGCACAGGCAATCTTGGTTTGAGAGGAAACCAGAGTACCCAAAGAAAACCCACACTCTATCACTGAATAGATAATTCAATGCTGGATGGAAACATATGGTCTGCTACGTATTGACCTCAATGTTAGATTTATTATTTAGTTAACTAGATTACACTTACATTGAACTTGTAACCCTGGACTATCTTTGGAGGTGGGTTGTCAATGTCGTAATGGGTCTGGTTATACTTGTTCCATTCAAACCCCTAGAAAACAAGTCAAAGCACATGATGAAATGAACCAATGATAAATAGGATAAATGAACCAATGATAAATAGGATAAATGAACCCTACATTTTAGCATGATCACTTTTAATATATAGATTTTTTTATAATACACCACAGTCATGTCTAGTTAATGTCCCTAAAATCTAGTTGAACCAGCTAGCCAGTTTAAGAAAACAGATCAATCTTTTAATCGCAGTAATCAGCCAGTTTTATTCAGAATGGTTGTGTTTAGATTATCAAGACTGTAATTGTGTACAAATTATTGTATTAGAACACAGGTACATGTTAAAAAATATATATTTCCCCCCCTTATTAATGCCATATATATTTCATTTAAAACATGTACATTTTAATTTTAATGTTTGGACGGGAATAAGGACAAAAGGAAATTTTGTTTTAAAATGTTTTTTAATATAAAACAAACACATCCAAAAGTTTTATATACAAAGACAAATACAGATGTTTCATATATAACAGATGTACAAAAAGTTGACCCATCATTTACAATGACATACTCGTATGAGCCTGATGAACAATATTATCCCTGATAAAGAAGCAAGCTTCCAGAGGCTGGGCATTACTATGTGACTCCTGTGTAAGAATCAAGGTTGGCTTTACAAATACTTACTGTGTGAACTCTGTTGAAGAAGCGAGGTTTGCGAGGCCTGTACTTATCAGACCACAGGAAGGCCTGCTGATCGAGAGCCACTTCTACACTGAATGTGGCCTCCTCATCATTCATCCCCTCCCGCGCCTTCTTCTCAAATTCTGTCTCTCCATCCAGCTAAAATACAACACAATCTGTATCAATGCCACATATTATTGACAAAACATAGTAACAACAATCTTAATAAATATTACTATGTCATGCCACTTTTCTGTCCATATGTTCAATTTGATAGTTTACACTGTGTTTCAGTGAGTGAAAAGGGGATCATTTCAAAACAAGAGGCCCAAAGGGCCTGTATCGCTCACTTGAATATTTAAGCAGTCATAGCAAAATGTTCTCATTAAATATTATATTGTACTACAAATATTTCCCTTGCAAACTTTGTCGGCTCCATCTGTTGAAATTACCAGCCAAGATTTTCATTCTCAAACTTTGTCAGGCTTTATCTCAGGAAGCCAACAGCCAAATATGGAGGTTCTATACCTTTTAGTTCTTCAGAAGAAGGCGTTTGACACATTTGACTGCTGTGACCTTGAAAGTAGGTCAAGGTCATTTTTCGTTATCAAACTATTTCGGGCTCCTACCAACGAAATAATCAAATATCATGCCTCTATGCCTGTTTGTTCTTCAGAAGAAGTTGTTTAAAGGAAAAGTTGACGGACGACGGACGGACAGACGACAAACGCCACACCATGACATAAGCTCACTTGCCCTTTGGGCAGGTGAGCTCAAAACTATCAATAACAATAACAGATACAAAGGTTTAAGGAGAAGATAATGTCTTGGAGATGTGTTATGACATTTTATTGGTTATCTGTAGAAATGGACCCTCGTTAAAGATATCTAGTTTTGAAGAGAACTTTATAATTATAAGAAAAAGACACTTTTTACAGTTTCATCATATTTATTAGGAATATTTCTGTACCATAGTCCCTTTAAACAAATATGTATTGAACAGTTACCATCTTTCAATGTAAATAAAGACTTATAAAAAGTTACAGAAGATGAATGAAATGTATCATCCCTGTGTGATGCCCAGAACAAGGCAAATGACACTATGTGATATCATATCTAAATTATCTGCTGTTCCATCTAGATGGGGGAGTGGCAATATGTATGATTAACGGTTACAGCAAAATCAGCAAAGAACAGACATTGTTTCCATAACAACATACCATGGAAAGGACAAATTTATCACATCTCGGGTAAAAATTGTTCATCCATGATCTGGGTTAGGATTTGAAGGAGGAAACTCACCCTAACTTGCCCCAGTGTTTTGACCTGCTGTCGGGCTGGGTTGGGATATGAAGGAGAAACTCACTCTAACTTGCCCCAGTGTTTTGACCTGCTGTCGGGCTGTGTTGGGATATGAAGGAGAAACTCACCCTAACTTGCCCCAGTGTTTTGACCTGCTGTCGGGCTAGTTCCAGTTTCTTCATGTCGTCAGCAGGGTTGTACACAACAGTGTCTATCTCCAGGTCATTGAAGCGCTGCAGTCTAGGTGAGTACTTTCCAGCCTCATAGTCTACATAAGCTTGCTCCTCCAAGTCCTCCTCTGTGATAACAGGCTCATCCTCACTGTAAACAAATGATGTAATCGTTTGAAACAACAACACACGCCTATGGTGCATGTATCATTCTTTTCTTTTTTAAATGATTATCCAATCCAATTTGTACTCATGGGGGTAGCTTTTTATATCAGGCCAGAAATTTATATGTTCAATGTTACTGCTATGAAGCAGTCGTGATCAAATTAACTGCCCCCTTCCCCACACTTATCAGCCCCTCCCCCATGCTTAATCAGCCCCTCCGTAATTTTCAAACATACTCCTCCTCCTCCTGCTCCTCCTCGTCTGCCTCCCCACTAGGACCAGCTTTGGGCTCCTCTTGTTTCTCTTTTGAATCTACCTTCACTTCAGGTGGTGGCATTGAGGTTTCGGGATGTGGAGTGCTCTCCCTTGATACAGAACTCTCTGTACCAGTTGCAGATGGAAACAAGGCTTGTGATTCTATTCCTTGCTATAATGGATTCAAAATTAATTATACATATATATATATATACTATAGACATTGAATTTTACTCATTTTAATCAGATACATGCATTTGCAGACATAAAACCAACAAAAGACATCAGCAAATCTAAAAGTACAGGTGGGGTGTGTGTTATCCAAAAGGTACAGATGGAATGTGTGTTATCCTAAAGGTACAGATGGAGTGTGTGTTATCCTAAAAGTACAGGTGGGGTGTGTGTTATCCTAAAAGTACAGATGGAGTGTGTGTTATCCTAAAAGTACAGGTGGAGTGTGTTATCCTAAAAGTACAGGTGGGGTGTGTGTTATCCTAAAAGAACAGGTGGGGTGTGTGTTATCCTAAAAGTACAGGTGGAGTGTGTGTTATCCAAAAGGTACAGATGGAATGTGTGTTATCCTAAAGGTACAGATGGTTTGTGTGTTATCCTAAAAGTACAGGTGGGGTGTGTGTTATCCTAAAAGTACAGGTGGAGTGTGTTATCCTAAAAGTACAGGTGGGGTGTGTGTTATCCTAAAAGAACAGGTGGGGTGTGTGTTATCCTAAAAGTACAGGGGGGGTGTGTGTTATCCTAAAAGTACAGGTGGAGTGTGTGTTATCCTAAAAGTACAGATGGAGTGTGTGTTATCCTAAAAGTACAGGTGGAGTGTGTTATCCTAAAAGTACAGGGGGGGTGTGTGTTATCCTAAAAGTACAGGTGGAGTGTGTGTTATCCAAAAGGTACAGATGGAGTGTGAGTTATCATAAAAGTACAGGTGGGGTGTGTGTTATCCTAAAAGTACAGGCGGAGTGTGTGTTATCCTAAAAGTACAGGAGGAGTGTGTGTTATCCTAAAAGTACAGGTGGAGTGTGTGTTATCCTAAAAGTACAGGTGGGGTGTGTGATTTCCTAAAAGTACAGGTGGAATGTGTGTTATCCTAAAAGTACAGGTGGGGTGTGTGTTATCCTAAAAGTACAGATGGAATGTGTGTTATCCTTAAAGGGTTTACAATGAATCAAGATAACACTTTGTAATATAATCAATAAAGCTGACCTTTTATATATTCAAGTGCAACATCAATATAGATATTACAGTAAAATACTACTTTGAAAATTACACTTTAATGAAACCATACTGTATACTGGGAAATTTTCAATTAAACATTCACCTGTTTTGTCCTCCACAATGAAGGAGAATCCATCATACATGTACCAAAAATCAAATACACGGATTATAATTCTTCTGTGAGGGTGAAAAAAATATTTTTTTGTGAATATGCATTTAATAAGTGAAGATATAATGTCTCACTGGGAGAAAGCTCCCCACTATACAAAACTTCACAGTTTTATAAATTATTTTTCCTTTCAAAATGTTAAGTATCACAACAGACTGAGTACCTCCTGTTTCAGTTTGAAGAGCTTCTGTCTAAGAACATCCTGGTGACGCTCTCGGAGCCTCGTTCTCGCAACATGGGCCTTGAGTTGCTGGAGTAGTGATTCCCAGTAACCTGACACAGTTCAGAATGAACATGATCAATACTAGGCACAGAACTGTTCTCTGTTCCGACAGAATTCAAAATTCATTGAGTTATGTATTAAAGGAAGTTATGTATAACATAGCGTAAAAACGTGTCTATGTAAAACATGAAAAAATCATACTTTTTGCATTGGACATACATGTAATCATACAATGCAGTATGAGATAAAATAAAAGTCTCACTGAGAGAAACTTAAACATGCATTTTGTTTACTGATTAGACAAAGTTTAAATCAATTTTCATTATTTAAACTTAATGGCAATAGTCGTATTCTATACATACCAGTGAAATCATTTATTAAGAACTATCTGATGATAAATGAAGGGAGAATATTCTGCTACCGAGCATACTGACCTACGTCCACACCCTCGCCTCCCTTGAGCTTGTTCTTCATCTGTACCTCCAAAGCTACCAGTTGATTGGTTGTCTTGCCTTTGAAGATAGTCGCCACTTCTACATTGACCGATTCATTGATGCCTTCTCGTCTGTCGTGAAATTCTATCAGAAAAAAATCAGTTTCACTTACGACTCACAATCATGATGTAAAGTCATTTTTTATTTTTTTCATTAACAACTCAATGGAAAGAATATTTTTAACTTTTATTATAATTTTAAAATATGAAGTTATTGTAGTTATGAAATAATATCAAATTAAATTTTGTTTAATTTCAGGGTTTTATTTTTTATATTACTGCAGAATTTCGTTCTTTGATTATTATTGCAGTCATCCAAACACATACTTTAAATAAGAAAAGTTAAACATTTTATCAAACACACTGCAAACAATATACAAGGCAGTTATATGTGCAAAACTCATGGTCACCTCTCTGACTTGTATCAAGCTTCTTCAGTTTACTGAGTTCGTCTTTAGTGACAGTGATAATGTCACGCCAGTAGTCAGCATTTTTTCCTTCCTCCAACTCCAAGTACACCTTGATGTCCTCCAGAAGATCTTCAAGGTCAGGGATGGTCAGGCCCTGCATAGATAACAACAGGTTTAACTAATCAAACGATAACTTTAGAACTATTCAGGGTGATATTCTAGTAACTGGTCGAGAGATAACTTAAAACACGTGTACTGTTCAGGGTGATATTCTAGTAACTGGTCGAGAGATAACGTAAGACATGTGTACTGTTCAGGGTGATATTCTAGTAAGTGGTCGAGAGATAACGTAAGACACGTGTACTGTTCAGAGTGATATTCTAGTAAGTGGTCGAGAGATAACATAAGGTAGCAGTATACAGTAGAGGGTTGTGGCCATGGGTGATATTTTTGTTAAATGGCTAACCCCTGTATAGAGTTTTTTTTTCAAAATATAAAAATAAAACTGTACTAAAATTGACATAAGCATGATGAAGTGGGCTATGTGAGCTTCACATTTGTAAAAAAAAAAGATTTTTTTGGTTCAAGAATAAAATTTTGGCCATAATCCGAAAGGGTGCCTACACATGAAAAGCTAGCTTTACAGGAGGTAAAATTTTGACAACAGCACACGACGCAAAATTGCAAAAAATCAAGTTTAACAACTTTACTGGGACCCAAATAATTCTGCAACCAGGTAGGTAATCTTTAATTTCGGACAGAACTTAGGAAAAAATTACTAGTTGCGGGGGTCAAATTTTGGGTCAAAAATAGCAATTTTTGGCATTTTTGGTAATTTTTAATGTGGTAACCATGATTTTCAAACAAGTGACATACATAGAAAAAAGAGGTTTATACACTTCAAAGTACTTTATATGTATTGTAAATGTAATGCAGTTTACAAATATATATACATGTATACCTGCGCTTTATTCGTTGCACTGGTTACCTGTA